AAGCACTCACTGTGTTTTACCTCAGCAGCGCTGGGGATGGATTACTGCCACGGCTTCATGACACAAGATCACTTCAGCAGAGTCCCCTGCTCCCTCCCGTTGATGGCGGTGAAATAAATACAGCCAGTTTACTTCCAGTGGGACAAAAGCTGCACTTGGACGGCTAAACAATGCCGAGAGCTCTCCTGTGCTTCCCAAATACGCAGCTCCTGACTCGAACAGGTGCTCAGCACTTAAAACCCAAGCCAAATACAACATCACTTTTAACATTTCAGCCTTACTTCTACAGCTCTTGCCCTCTGAGTGGGGCACCACTCCCACCTTGCTCGCAAGGCGCAGAAAACGAGAACAAGTACCTTTGAGATGATTAATGGCTCTCCGTGCTCCAGCCCGCCCTTCAGCGTGAATCCCCATGGAGCACCTCCGTGCAGCAGGGCCTCCAGGTAGATGTATCTTCCCCTGTGGGTGATGCTGCACTCTGAAGGGGATATGCTGGTGTTAATGTTGTCTAACATCCTCGTCTGTCCTATTCACATACTCAGGCAAACGCAAAACCCCACCCAGGCAGTCACAGAGCGAGCAGCATGGAAATCAAAGCCCCCAGAAGCCCACCACGAGTCATCCCTGAATGGGAGAAACAAGAAGAGCCTGAGGTGGGAAGTTCTGCTTCAGAGCCGGAGTCCAAGGTGGTGGGTTAAAAACAGCCCCATCAACATTTCACCGTGCTGCTTCTCCGTCAGGATTTTAGTTCCAGCACCGAGCTCTCCCCACTCCCAGCTGCTCTGCGCATGAGAGCGCGGTAAAGATTTCTCTTCCTGCCTTCAGCAGATCAAAACTATGCTTTTAAAGATGGGGGCAAAAAAAAAAAAAAAAAAAAAAAAGTTTTTGGATTTAAAAGCCCCCGGCCAGCAAATTGCCAAAATCCAAACGAATGCTTCATTTGTGATTGATTATCAGTCCTTTCTTCCTTTCTGCATGCGATTTACCATTACAATGGCCTTTTTGCCTCAGCCCACTGCACTAAAAGAATGGAAGCGTCTTCTCCCTCTCAGCTCTCAGTTACTCTGTTCGCTTACTTCACAATTTTCTGACTTGTCAAAAAAAAAAAAAAAAAAAAGAAAAAAGAAATAAAAAGGCTGGGGGAGGAGGAAGGAGAGAGCAAGTCCGTTCCTAAAACCCTTTAGAGGGGTTTAAAATGTGAAATAACTCCATACTTATTGGATTAAAGAGTGAAAAAGAAACCGTTGGGAAAGCTGGAGAAGCAGGTGAAATGAATCCTCTGGGGAAAAATGTTAAGGCGATAGCTGAACTCTTTTCATTTTCGGCGCTCTCCCCGACGAGCTGCCAGAGCTGCAGCAGCTACTGCTGCTCTGAGGGAGGGTGAGGAAGTGAGGGGGGAGAGGGAGAGAGAGATGGATTAAGGCAAGCAAGGCAGTGCTGCCCAATTGTGCACATCAAGCACGCGATTATAAAATGCAGTGTGCAAAAGCTGGGGCTCACCCTTTTATTGTGCCCCCGGAAACCACCATCTCTCTATTGTCCTTGCCAAGGAATTGTAACAATCCGAACTGCCAGTTGCTGAAAACACAATGGACCTGTTCCAAATCAGCTCAGTGGAGCACTGCTAATAATTCTGCTCTCATAAAGAGCTTTTCCTCTGCCTGGAGCCTACCAGCTTCCCTGGACATATTTCTTTCCCCCGTTTACATTGGCAGAAAAGGCCAATGCTTTCCCAATAAATGGAATAAGAAACAACCCCAAAACTCTGGATACTTTTATTAGTGTAGGCAGTTACCTACTGTAGAACATGTGGATGTGGGTGGATCTGCTCTTCCATACGTGCACATAGGCTTCAGGACTTGGCTCATCCCTTGACATATATCACAGCATGTGTCACTGGAGGTGTGCAAAACCTTTCCTGATTTTTAATTTTTAACTGGATCTCGAACAGGACAATAGAGAGAGGGAAGACCAGAGCCCACTGCCTTTCCTGTTGGCAGAGCTGAGGAAACACACAGCAGTGTCTGCCTCTAAGGCACCCCCAGCTTTTGATCTCACTGTGCATGGAATGTGCATTATTCCTCCTTGGGGTTTTGCAAGCCTTGTGTTAACAAAACCTTAATGAACGGTGGGGGGAAAGCTTTGGAGCTGGGACTCTAAACCCAGGATTCCTTGCATTTGTCCGTGCCACCCCATTCCCATTCCATTCCCTTTAAGATGTTACAGGTTCCCAGAGCCTTCTCTTTGCCCCACGTGTCCCAGGTCTCACTCCCAATTCCCACAGAGTAAAATGCAGAAAAGAGGCCCCTCGCTTTAGTTTTCATGGTAGACGATTCCCCAATCCTAGCTTATCCTGAGCTTTGCCCCCTCATCTTCCCTCCCAGGGCTGAGTTTCCATTAGCCTCACAACCTGGTCAGGCCCACGGATTGCTATTATCCAGAACTCACCCTTTAGCCTGACTCAAATCAGATTTCTGAGGTTTTGCTCTCCTAATGTTTCAGCGTGAAAACCCTCGCTCCAGGCCACCACAAAGAGCAATTCATGTCCAATGCTCTGCACAGCCCTTCCAGGGCCAGGCCAAGGCTCCAGGAGCTCTCCCGAGGCCGTGCCTCTTCCTCTCCACAGGCACCAGCAGCACTAGGTAAGGCTGTGTAAGGACACACCAGCCCGAGGCACTCCTCTGGATTACATCCATTTCCCACAGGAAACGTTTGTCACCACAGCTGTCTGCGGACACCAGATCTCCAGTGAGAGCCCTACTTCTCATGGGGTCTGCTGCATCTGATGGTTAAAAGTTATCAACATATTTCTGAGAGAGAGTTTTACTTCTCCTCCAGCACTGTGGTTCTTTTCAAGTGCTGAATCCAACATCATTTTTGCCAAAAACTCCATCAGGTTTGTCACCATTGCAAGCACAGGATTTTCTCCTCTTACCACCTCCAGATTTGGTATTTTTTCATCCTGTTAATCCAGCTCTAAAAAGGTCACATCCAGGTGCTTCCATGTATCAGAGACTCACAACCAGCTAAGGAAAGCGGTTTGATCAATCACCCAAAAAAGGGCTGCCAAATACTGTGCTGCTTCCTCAGCGGGCTCTGATTCCACACAGGAGTTCCTCTGAGGCCAGAGCTGACACACTCCTTGATGGGATACAGCCAAAAGAACCGGGGCTCAGCAAAGTGCTTTCCACACAGAACAATATGTTTGAAGTTCTGCACAGTTGTGGCGTAAGGGAAAATAAATTTGGAACAGTCACGTCAGAACCCTTTCCCTCATGGAGCACTGCACTGCTAAAGCAGGAAAAATTAGCACTGATTTCACTTTTCAGAGGTCCCAATCAAACCCTGTATTTATCATCAAGCGAGGCAGCTGGCTCTGTCCTTTCCTAAATTCCTAAATTCCTTCAAATATTCCAAGATTCTTTTGCAAGTGAAGTTTGTCAGAGCAACACTGCCCTCGTCTGCTGAAAGCAGGAATTGTCACAGTTAAGCTGATCGACTTCCATGCCCACGTTTCCTCAGTTAATAGGCATTTACTACGCTTTTCCCTTTCAAAAATGCAGCAGGATCTGTCCAGAGTGTTCAGAGTGCCTGATCTGACCAAAGACAGGAAATTCAGCTCATTTTGTGCGCAGTTGTTACTGCCCTTTTGGCAGGAGAACTAAACCCTAGGCTTAGTTTAAATCTACCCACTGCTTAATTCTGTCTTGGAAGGTGAGAGGAAGCAGATTCCCAATTTGTCTCTACAGAGAAGTTTTGTGAAAATAATAATAAGTTTTGTGTGGGCCCTCCTACCTTTCACAGACACAAGGTGTGGCTTGCTGATGGCCATACAGGAAGCATGAGAAGGCTGAAAAGGCAGTGCTCCTTTTCCCTTGGTCTTATCACCGAAGAACTTCTCTTTTCCCTCCTGGCAGGGCTCTGTGTGAGCTGAGGAGCGTCAGGAATTTCAAATAATGGACATCCTTCAGGCACCAGTGGGCCCAGCTTCTTCCCCTCCCCAGGAGTCCTGAAGCCATTCACCTAAATCTGCAGTAGGATGGAAAAAAACACAAGTGTCAAAAGACACACAGCTCTCCTGGATCAGCCCAGGACCCCTTCAGGAATGAATCATTCCCTCTTGGGGTAGCAATTCCCCTGGAAGTTTATTTAAAAGAAATTCAGGAACAAATAAATCAAAAATATGGCTTTCCTATACTTACTTACAATCAGCTGGGGCTGGCTGTAGCTTTTCCATCTCCTCAGCTCTGGAAAATGTCAGTCTGGCATCTAAAAGAAGAAATAACAGCAGGGAAAACATGTGAGGCTCTATATGGTATCAAAGGGATTGCAATCATCAGCTAACATTCAAAAGGTGCTTCCAGAGAAAAGCTCCTAGGGCTACACAGGGAACCTCCACTCAGATTCCCAGTTGGATTTGAGCTCATCTTCATTCCAAACCACAGAACAAACTTCTTTTTCTGGATAGGCCTGAGGTGAAAATGTGAAAAATCAGACAGAGAAAAGGGAAAACAGAGATCTGAGAATGGAAGGAAAGAACAAAGCTGAGAAACAGAAGTAACCTGTGAAATCAATGAATCCACATCCTGCTGGTGTTGGAAAAGGCACTTGTGTTTGAAGTCTGAAAGGAAAGAACTTTCTTTGGAGAACAGGAAAGACATTGTCCATTTAATGTGGAGCTTTGCTGTGTCGCTCAGCTCCTCAAAGCAAACTGGAGAGCAACAAGCCAAGGTGAGGAAGGGATCTGCCCCTCCAAGGGGGGCACGAGTGCTGCCACAACTGTGAGCCCAGGGCATTTGAACTCACAATCACAGGTTTTCCCCCTGCACCTGAATTCTCATCTATCTGATGTCACCACTCTGCTGAAAACAGAGTTCTAATCAGGGAATCAAAAAAAGAGGCACCACAACCGCACAACGTTCCCACCCCAAATAAGATGATGATTGAACAATTCGTGCCACTGTTAGAACCTTTAAACAACTCTGAAGTGGCTGGTGGGTATGGCCCAGGTATGTGAGTCGTCTCTGCTGGCATAGATCACTCCAATCCCTTCCTCTGAAGCTCTATCCCACATTATTTTAAACACAAGCAGTTGATACTTGCATCTCCATACCTTTTCAGAGGCACTCCCAAATAGGAGGAAAGTTACACGGGAATTTGATCCTTAAAGAATTATTCTCTTTCAAGAATGACAGGGGCTGTTGGGTGCTCCAGACCCGGACTCCCAGGAAACAAGGGATACAAAAAAAAAAAAAGCACCTGCAGTCACAGGTGTCATTCTGCACAAAAGCACCTTGCCGGGATCCCGACGAGTAAAAGATATCAAGTTTCCCGCTGAAGCCGGGCTTTGAATGACACTTGGGGGAGAAATCAAGCCCTGCGTACGGCGTTTATTGGCTCTCCTTCATGCCAGGACCGGCTCCTGAGGGAGGAGCTTGTTCCCAAGTCTACCGAGTAGGGAGCAGAGGGAACAAGTAAGGAGTAAGGAGCAGGTGGCTCCCAGCCGGGCTCGGGAAGTTGGAGTGGCAGCCCACAGCGTGGAAAAGCCAGGAGCGAAGGCGGGGTGATGAATGCCTCCCTTATTTCCCAGCCCCACAGTCGGGAGCAAAACCTCAGTGCCCCTTCCCAATTCCCGGAGAAACAAAGCCCAGCACTGCCTGCTGGTAGGTGCTGGCCCCGCTCCCATGTGAGCTTTCATGCTTTATTAACACCTGGGACTGCTGGAGGATTAAAATATCGTTTGTGGATATGGTAGAGCTTTAGCATATTGTAGGGTATTGTATCTACCTAAACACTCTTTTATTTCTTAATATTTTTGTTGCTGCCTCTTCCAGGTGGTGCCACAGAAGTCCTTCCCTTGAGCTGTTTTCCACTTGGGATTGCACTGCAGCAAGGGGAATGGAGAGCTGAGGTGTGTTCTCAGCTGGTTAATTCTTGCTTTTCTGTAGTAGTTCACGTAAAATAACTTTTCTCCTTTTGTCTTTCAGCACCAGGTGGATGGTTTTTTGTCTTGTAAATGAGAATTATGTGGTACCCTTGAGGAATGGTTATGTGTTTTATATCTTAGGAAGATATTTAAACAAATTAACATACCTTTCTGAATCTTGAGTTTTCTCAGACTTCATCTCTCCAACTCAGGATTTTGTTTTGGGCATAGTTCATGCACCTGTTCCTGGAAACTTGTATTAAGGTGATCTTTTGAATAATCTGAAACAAGGGACAGCCTATGGACACCTGTGTGTTCATTCCTGAAATCGAGATCCAAAATGGCACAGTCAGACATGTAATTTCCTTTGCTGAAGTGATCACCTCTTAACTCTGCATCCTCTCCCTCACCTTGAAAATACCAGGGATCACAGAAGCTTGTCCTCTCTGATGAGATTGGTGTAAAAATAAAAAATATTCCAGTTTTTATTACTGAACTGGATTTAGGGCAAGATGCCTTTGAATCTTTTGCTTTTGAACCTCTGGGCTTTTCCTTGACGGGACCAAGTCTCCTCACCCAGCTTCTGCCTTGATTCAGCTCACGGTCACCCCTCCAAAATGTCCCACCTTACTGACCAAATATCATAAGGAAAATAATTCAGGCCCTTCCCTATTCCTGTGAGAGGATTTTTTTCTCAAGCCTCAAGCACCAGCATCGCGAAACCACCTGGGCGCCCCCGACCACAAAATGGTGCCCACGCCGTGAGGGGGCAGCGGCCATGTTGGGGCTGAGGGTCTCGGCGCCGCAATTCCCGGTGATGCCAGCGGATCTTCCAGAAGCAGCCGGCGGCTCGGGATGCCCCCTTCCCGGGGGGGAGCATGCGGGAGGAGCTTGGCGGCTCTCCCCAGGGCGGGCTGGGTCGGCAACAGCGTCCTGTGGAGCTGGGAGCCTCGGGAGCGCGGTGGGATGGAGCTGCCCGGGTGTCCCTCACGGCCCGAGGCGGGAAAGCGACGGGGCCCGGCCCGCCTGAGGAGAGGCGGCTCCTGGCAGCGCCTCGGAGCTCCCGAGGCAGGGCTGAGGGGGTTTTCTCCTCTGTTCGCTGCTCTGGCCCCTCAGGGTTGGGCTGCGGATCCAAGGACTCCGGTTTTCTCCTCAGTGTGCCCAGAGGAAGCACCGCCGGGGCGGCTGTGTCAGGTTTGTTGAAGGTGTTAAGTTAGCCAGGTATGGCGGGTGCTGCCTCTCGGCCTGAGTTGTGGTCACCAGTGCTCCAGAGGGCGAGTGACGCATGAAAATGCAAAATAAATGGAACAAAAAACCTGTCAATACCATTTGATTTAAAACTGCCACTAACAGATTTCTGTCTCTTTCCTACTCCCCTTTCTGTCTCTTTCCTACTCCCCTTTCTGTCTCTTTCCTGCTCTTTTATTGTTTTTCTTCTTTTTCTCTTCTGTCTGCATCTGGGTTAGTCCTGACGAAACAAACCAGAAGATTTGGAAAAGGAGTGAAACTTATCTCCCCTTAACTAACTTTAAGTCCTCCTGCAGTTTTAAAATTAGATGGGCAGAATTAATTTTGTTACATAAAGGTGATTCTTAATAGATTAAAAAGTAAATGCACATATTTTTCTTCACAAGTGCTGTTCCAATGAACAAGAATATCCAGGAGTTAAGTAGTACACAAGATTTGTTTGCAGAACATTCCTGTCCCTGCTACGTGTCATTATTTTTTCCCCCAGATGGTAGAGCTTGATTTTTAGTGATTTTTTTTTTTTTTATACACAGTTTCCCATCTAATATTTGAAAGTTTCACCCAAGAATGTTAATAAATTAGTTTGAAAATTGATGGCAAACAGCGATTTGATTTACTGATTGACTCAGAATGACGAGTCAAACTGACACCACACCCTCAGGAATGGAGTAAATAATCCATTGCCTGATCATTTCCAGCAAGATAAGACATTTTCCTTCTGATGCTCTGTGTTCTGGCTTTTAGGGAATGCATTTGAAAACTCCCCGAGGTTTTTTTTTTCCCTTCTGACCGAGCCTAGGGGAAGGGTTATGGCATGATGAGGTACAAGTGGCAGCCTTTGACACTGGTCACACCTCCAGACTGGGTTTGCTGCTGGGATTGAGCATGTTTCCACAGCTCAAGGGGGAACTAAAAGGGAAGAAATCACCCTCCAGAATCTGCTGCCTTTTCTTCAGGGCTTTGCTGTGTCTTCTGTTCACAACAGGTGGAGGAGGTCCTTCAGTCCCTGACAAAAGACCCAAAGAGAGCTTCTGCTGCAGCAACATCAAATGAGGTACCCATTCTCTGGCTTTTTTTATTCCTAAAGCACAACCAGACATTTTTCACGTGTTCCACAGAGAATTCCTTTGGGGTGGGGTGACTAGGAAATAGCAAGCAATGTTTTTGAAGACGTCAGTAATTGTTCCAATAAAAGATGTTTATTTGCTCGTGACTTTCTCCTGCTTTTTCCTTCCATGCTGATCATCTCCTGGTTTACTTACTGCTGCAAAAATTCTATTTTGGAAGAACCTCTGCACCTTACCTTTCTAAGTGTTGCTTAAGTGAGCACGTGGAATTTGTTGGGACATCAGTTCTGCCGTTAAAAGAAAAGATTGTAATTTTGGTGTTTAAATCAGCTTTTTCTTGCTGGTTTCACTTAGAGTTTTGTCCTTTCTGTTTAACATCAGTTCTGCCGTTAAAAGATTGACAGTAATTTTGGTGTTTAAATCAGCTTTTTCTTGCTGGTTTCACTTAGAGTTTTGTCCTTTCTGTTTGTGATGTCCTAATTTTTGCCCCGCCATCCACTTGAAATCCATAACTTGATACTTAATACCAGAACACTGTAGTGATTACTTTTCTGACAAGTGAAAGAAGTTACTGTTTGCCAAGATGGAGTTGTAGCCAGTGTTTTCCTTTGGGAGGAGGATTGAGCAGGAACACGAGGAGGCAGCACTGTCTCGTAAAGCTGGCAGTGCCTGCAGCTTGCAATTAACACACAAATCCTAGTGGAGACAGGTCGTTCAGTCTGGGGTTTGATTATGGTAGGAAATGTTAAGAGTAACCTTAATTTGAGAAAAAGCTTAATCTGCTCCTACTCTCTGTCCTATTATTTTGGTTTCTCAGTGCTTTTGTTTCATGTAGCACTTGTTGCACAGACAGTGAAATGAAGAGAAAAGGGATAAAAACAGAAATCCCACAAAACCAGGCAATATAGAGGAGAGAGAAAACATCCATGTGTTAGGCAGGCTGGGAATGAGGAGGCTGAGGCTGCTTCTCCTTTGATGGTTCTTACAGTTTCTCATTTCTCCACCTCAAACTTCCCCTAGAGAACAAGCAAGAACCCCAAATTTGGTGCATCCACTTCATGTCTGTCAGCTGGAATTCACAGCTAGTCAGCTCTGTTCTCAGCTGGGAGAAGTGAAAGGATATGTGGAAACAAGGTCTGCATGGATTTGCCTGTTAGCACTGGTGCCAGTGAAACTCTGAGTGTGGAGATCTGAAATGTTCCAGAGACAGGAGGGGAGTCTCTTGATGAGGGATTGCTTCAGAAAAACTGTCTGGATTATAGGATAAATTACATTACCTTAAATAATAACAGTATCTTTATTTAATAGCCTTGTAGTCTGGTCCATCATCTCATACACTGGCAGAAGTTGCCTCCTTTCAGAGAAAGAGAACACTACTTGGTACAAAATGTGTGTTCCTGGAGATTTCTCTGTGTAGCCATGGTGAAGGAATAGTCCTCTGTGAAAAAATGACTTTTTTCCCCCCCTAAGTGTTATTTTACCATTCCAATCAGCATTTGTGTTGTAGATGAGGGACTTCTGAAGAGCTCTGGATCAGGGTGGAAGCTAAATTACTCTCCTGGACCTCTGTTAACTCTGAAATGAAACTGAGCTTAATCACCAAAAGAAGACAGCACAATTATGAGTACACCCCTTGAATAACTCTGCTGGGCCAAAAGATAAAATTTGTACTTGTTTCAAGTAGGACCTAGAAGAAAACCAGAAGGGATAGAAAATTCTGTTTAAATAGAATGCTTTAACAGAATTCTTCATGGAAATTTGCTCTTTTTTAGGTCCAAGACCTTGAGAAGCAGTTGCACCTAGCTCATTCTGAGCCAGCAGAAGCTCACACAGGCCAGGCACAACGTGGCCAAGAACCTGGAAATCCACATGACCAGATTCATCAATTGTTGGTAAAAAAAAAGTGACAGTGTTGAAAAAACTTGCTTTCTAAAAGCCTCTCCTTGCTTCTGGTGTTCAAATTTGCACCTTGCTTTTTTCCCCCTTTTAATTAACTTTGAGGATTGTTTATAACTAAGAATTTGAATTAGCTGTGAAAAGGCCTAAGGGCCTTTGCCAATAGTGGTGGGGGATATTCAGAATTAAGGCTTCATCATAAATTCAAAGCCACAGAAACCTATGCAAATCATATGAAGATGCTGAGCTACCTCCACTTTAACCTCACAGTTTAGATCCCTCTGCTAAGGAACCTTGATCCCTTAACACATATTTTTCAAGGCTTATCCAATATTCAAGCAGTAAACAACAGCAGAAGTTATGATTAGCAGAAATGCCCATTGGTAATGCATTTTGGGCCACACTTGAAATTCATATTGTTGAAATGAGTAGCTCTGAAATGTGTGTGTTAGTGTTTTTAACATGATTTACATTTTAAATTATCATTGAGAGAACAACAAAAAAATTCTGAATTTATTCAGGAGAGAGATGACTTTAATTTCTCATAGACTGAACTCCACAAAAAAAGACACAGAGCTCAGCCTAGAAAAAGAGCAGAACAAGTGATTTTGGGATCAGAACACAGAGAACAGCATCACCATGGAGCAGCTCAGGAGGCAGCTGGACAGCAGAAACATGCAGCTGCTGAGCATGGAAAGGGCACTGAGGGAAATGAGGATGGAGTGCCAGGTTGGTGGTTTTGACTCTAATCCTCCAAAATGGGGTTTTGTACGTTTCCAGCAAGTTTCATGCTGCCAGATCTACCAAACAAATTGTTGAATGTGGTATTTTCAGCTGTGAGCATGTCTGTAAGAGTGTTCAAGGCCTTCATAATGCTTTACTTCATGCAGTATTAAATGCAAATGTAATGAAGTTTGTGTTTATGAGCCAGTGAGCGCTGTGGCAGAATTCCTTCTGACAAAGTAGGCACTGCTTTTACATTCCCCTTTTTTCCAGACTTGCAGCCCCTCAAAAATGAGCTGTGATTAGATAACCTTCTTTGCATTATGAATAAAGATCCAGTTGATTCCTTTGTTTTCTACCTAACCATAGGCTTGAGCTAATCAGACATCGTGCATTTTCTCAATCCATTATTTTTTTGTTGAAAATTCTCTCACCAGGAAATTCCCTCTTGTCTTCTGCTTGTGCTTTGCACTGTTAACTGTGTTTCTCAATCACAGTTGCCTGTGGTTCAAATGGTGCATATTGCTGCTTGCAGGAATTAAATCAATAATAAATTATTCATGTAATTGTTTTTTCCCCAACTTCACAAAGCAACCAGTCAAGTTTTATCACTTCTTTAGCCTTAAGTGCTCTGAATTTTGTATTAGCATTGCCACTTGATTAATTTTTCTTTACATCAGTTTAACATTTTTCTTTTCCTGTCTTTAAAAAACCAATATTCTATTCAGTTATTAAAATGGAGGGACAGGAGCCAGAGCATCCTGACCTAATTTTTCTCTACAACTCAGGTGCGCTACAGAAAAACACAAACGTTCCAGGGGCGTTCAAAAGGTAAAAATAAACAAATCTCTCGGCTGATGATGTTGCTATTCTTCAGATGGCTGCAGCTGAGGAAAAAAAATGGAAGCATTGGAAGAATCTGCTCCTTGAGTGTGCAGCTGGAAATGACCAAGGAAGCATCTGGCAGCCAAGCAGGGGGATCTGGAGGCTGCTGAGCAAGCGGGCTCAGATCTCCTTTGTTGCAAGAACTCCTTCTAAAAATGTGGCCTGTCTGCAGGAGAAGGAGAGAGCCCTTGGGGCTGGCAGCCAGGAAATCAGGGAGCTGCATATTCCCAGCAGGATGCAGGAGCTCCAGCACGCCAGGAGTGAAGAGGGCTGCGCACACAAGGTGCAGGCGGAGCGGGAGGCGCTGGAAATGCGTGTGTTGGAGAGGGAAAGAAGCACGGAGGTCTTCCAAAAGCAGGTTGCTAACACGACACAAATCATGGGTCAGCACGACCAAATTGCTGGAGCAGTGGAAGTGGAGAAATCCCAGCTGAAAAAAGGAAATAAGTGACTGGAAACTCAAAGCAGAAGAGCTTAAGGTGTGCAAACAATGCTGTGTTTATGTCTCTTTGTGACAGTGAATGTTTTATGGTGCAAATCTCTGCCTTAATGTGCTGATACTGTGGTTTTGAAGAAGGTCAGGCAACGCCCCTGGAATTCTAACAGTTAGTGGGCAGAGCAGGATAATATTATAACATTACCACTGAATAAATCTCTGGTGAAAAGCAGCTGCCAAAAGGCTGGAATGACCTCGATGAGATGGAGGTTCGTGCCAGAACAGAACCAGAAATACAAAGTGTTACTGAGGAGCAGCAGACAGGCAGCACTCAGAATTCCAAGCCGAGGACACTGGTTATTTCTCAGACAAGAAATACAAGATGTGGTAGTTCCATCTTCAGAAGAAAAGTCACTCCAGACAGAATTTAATCCTTTTTGGTGAGGAGGCATTTGAGTGTACCTGGTGGGGCTGCTGCAAGAGAATGGCAATCATGTTCATGAGCTACACCTGGTAAGGTTAATTATTCTTTAAAGCCATCAGATCCAATTCTGCTGCACCCTCTTTGCCTGGGTTAGCAACAATTTTCACACAAACAGTTGGGCTGTTTCACTCTGGTTTTCCTTCTTGCCCCCAAACTGGGATTTTAAGTAGCTGTGTCCACACATCTTTGTGGTTATTTCATATCATTATATACATTACACGTGGTTGTTTTTTATGTCAGCAGAGTGGAAAGGATGAGAAAGAAGCCAGAATACGTGAAATGGAATCATGCCAGGATGAGCAAGCTGGAGCTGGAAAAGGTTCAGCACATGCACTGAGAGGCTCCAGGCACTGAAGGATGCAAAACTGGAGAAAGATGAGCTCCTGCAGGATCTCCAGGCTGGCCAGAGGGAGCTAGCTGGCCTCGCAGGTAGGGAGCCTCAGCTCAGCTCCCACAGCTGCTAATTTGGGCTCATGTTAAAAATAAAAAAGCAGCCTGCTGGCTGAATCCAAATACGGCTGCTGGTACTGCCTGAGGTTCCTGCCAGCACAGGATGGCCAGATTGTTCCAGGGAGCTATGTGGGCTTCTGGCACTGAAAGGGGGGCAACACAATCTTAATGGCCCCTCTCATTGTGAGCAAAAATATTTAAAACTGCATGAGTCAGGAGATGGAAAAAGCAGATTGAGTAAATCACAGAATAGCAACCTGACCCTTTTTTTCAAGAGAGGTATGTAACAGCAGTATTAGATCCCATTAACCATCTATGGCCAAATTACAGTGAAACTTTGTTGTGTTGCAAATTTACTACCATGTTATTATTTGATGCTTTAACTTCCACATTTTCACAACAAATGTGTGGGAAACCCCATCAAGATATATTATTAAAATATATACAGATGTATAAAAATAAAAATACTTCTGAAATATGTAGCTATAAATGTATTATTTAAAATTTAGAAAAAGCAGGGTCTGGATCCAAAGTAACCACCACGGATGTTCTCAGGTTAATCTGCACAGGAGCTGGCTGGATGCTGCTGGTGACATGCTTTGCTGTCTGCACACACCTGTGCCCTCAGGAATTACCCCTTGGGAGCGCTGCCTTTATCCCAAGTTGGCAGCAGATCAGTGATCTTAGTCTAGAAAATGAATTTTTTTTTTTTTGACATTCTAATTGCAATCTTTATTTGCCCTCACCAGAGGCATTTGAAGATTTGAAGAGGAAAGATCAGGGTGAAGTCAAGGAAATGGAAAATACTGCAAACAGACTGAAAATGCAGTTGAAATCAGCCCCAAGCTGAACTGAAACAGGCCAGGACTGCTCTGAAGACTACAGAGGGATCTGATGGCAATAGTAAGTGTGGATTGAACTTCCCAAAAATCACACACATTTGTCTTATCAGCCAGATAATATCTGTAAGCATCACAATCCTCATTGTTCACTGAGAATTAACCTTGTGTTTTCCAGCTGTGGAAGCTGCAGCAAGAATGCAGAAGCAGATCACAGCCAAGAGAGGACAGATGGATGCACTACAGAGCAGGATTAAATTCTTGGAAGAGGCAATGGCAAATGCAGCTAAGGTTGCAAGAACTCCTTCTAAAAGTATTTCACTGCATTTAGAGAGATTTATCTTGGGAGAAAGGCATGAGCAAAAGCACAGTCAGCCCGTGAAGGACCAAAAAGAGTTTTGCTTGGTGTCCATGGAAATCAGCCTTCTGCCCAGAGACAGATGTCAATTTATATTTGTTCTTTGAGAGTAGTTGCAGTGAGAATCAGGCTCTTCCATATCAGTTCTTCCTGAAAATGTCAACTTTGGCATTCTGTATCCTTCTGACCCTGGTTCTCAGTGCTTCCCCTCTGGATTTTGAGGCAGTTCTGGATGTAAACTCAGGGTCTGTCACTGTAGGTCCTTTTCCACTTTCTGTGAGGAAATCACTCAGTTGCCAAGAGCTGTATTTCAATGAATGACCATTTATATCTGTTCACTGTAACCTGTCCTATTTCCTCACTGGTTTGGCATCCTGTGGATCCTGAAGATTAAAATTCCAGTTGCAACGTGGGTCAAAAATTGGAGATTTTGTTTCATTGAGGGCAGTCCATTTGCACTTTTCCTTGTAAGGCCTTTCTTCTTGTTACAGGGCATCATCTTGGTGCAAGATGCAGTATCTAAGCTTCTCAAAGGCTTAGTTCAGGTATTTCGAAGATGAGAATAAAATCTACAGAATATAAATGTCTATAATTTAGCAATTTTTGACTCATACTATGTCCTCATTTTAAATTCAGGAGAAGCATTACCTGAGGGAAGAAAACAGTAAACTAAGTGAGAAATTGAGCTGTATTAGAGCAGAAAATATCAGGATTGCTGGGGACCTGGAGATCCTGAGCTCACAAGACAAACAGCTGAAAGAAAAACTATCAAAGATGGACACAGCCCTTGAGAAGGTAATGTAAGGAAACTCTCAGTTCAGGGAGACTTCTGGGTGTTTTCCTCTGCAGTCATCTGGGAAGAGAAGGGTGGGATTTAATACTTTCTTTTCACATGTGCTGTCAGACCCTCACCTGAAGATTTTTTAAATAGTAAAAGGCTTCTATTTTCATGAAGAGTTTTCTTGTTTTAGTCCTTATTAGCTCAGGGAAGTCTAAACTACAGGGAATTGAAAGCAAATGTGTTGTGCAGGCTGCAGAACCTTCCACTGACTCTGGGCACAGCTGCTTCTCTCTGGTGTTCCATATGAGGGAATTTTTACAGAGAGTGGTGTTGTTTCATTTGCCCTTTACATTTTTTTAGGTGAGATTTCTATTGCTGGCATACCTGACCCCTAAGGTTAGGTCTGGTCTTAGGACTGGCACTGAAATCCCAGATGCTCTGCAGCTGGGCTGCTCCTCTTCCAGGAGGAAGAGTCCTTTCAGGATTCTAACTTTCTTGGATGTAAATTGCTATGCAAGGTGTCCTTTTCAAATCCAATAAAAAAAAGACAAAAGAATTGTGAGATCTCCTCCAAAGTTGTAGCATTTCTTCTTTAAATTCTGTCACTGGAAGCTTACCTTTCTTGTGGGGTATGGTTGTTTTTGCCCTTTTTCTGAGTAATTTTTTTAAGGAAGGGAAGGTAGACAGCAACCTGGAGCAAAGGTGGCTCAGCCAAGTCCTCTGCCATCCCTTTTCAAACCTTGAGTTGCTTGCCTCATTAGCACAGCTCAATTTTCTAATCCCAGAGGTGTTCAGTAGGTCTGGGACTGGCTCTGGAAGGATATTGTCCCCTTCTGGGACGTTCTGGAGTGCACATTCTGGCTGCCAGGCTTGTGTAAGCAGCTGTGAGCCTGTCAGCAGAGGCATCCTGCAGTATTTCCCTGCTGGTAGCAGGAGATAAACACAGCACCCCTGTGTGCACCTTTATTTGTCAGAGAGGGGACAGCAGAGAGTGTAATCCCCAGCAATTAGAACAGCTCCTTCGTGCCCCTTCTGTGCCTCCTGTCCATAATTCCAGGTTTGTGGAGTGCTGTTTACAGTAATGACAGCAAAATATTAGATGGAGCCCAATCCCTGTCTTTACTGCTTAGATGGATAGAGGATGTTTTTTACTTTTGCCTTATTTTTAACCATGGACTCTGCAAGCTGTGGTGAGAACACTGCTGTAAACAAATGGGAGCAGCAATTTTGTCACAAGAAATTATCATTCATTTCAGTGACCCACCCCAGCTGCTGCCTTTGAGAGAGGAACAAAGTGCCACATTCAAAATACAGCTCAACATAAGCAGTACAAAAAGTGCTTCAGAGGCTGAATGACCAAGGTGGGGAACTTGTGTTGTTTTTCCCCAGGAGCTCAAGGTCCAGGCTATTCCTCAGCTTCTGCTCCAGGGAAGCTGCAGCACACTGTACTTCTGTCCCACCTGCTCTCTGCTGTCCCAAACAGCAAAAATAACATGGAATTTCTGCGTGGGAGAACACCTGCTCAGACAGCAAACTCCTAACACCAAAAGTGAAATAATTCCTGTAGCTCCACATGTGCTGTGTCCTTTCAGATTTTTTTTTTAATTTTGGTTTAAAAAACCAATGTGACAACTATAAAATCCTATAGACTGTGCTAAGAGGTTATTTTACATCTACCACAAATAACATTTATGAGGCATTAAGTTTGTAAGTACTGAAATGTAAGCAGTTTGGTTTTCACTTTTTTTTTTGCTGTAAATCACATTTGACAGTGAAAATAGGTTTGTGCATGGTTGCTGATACATTTAATCATCTGCTTGATATTTGAATCTTCCTCCAAGCTGGCTTTCATTGATTTTGATCAGTTTTATCCACATCATTTTTCCTCCTTTGGTTTTGTACGTCTACCTTTAGATTTAAATTTTCATTACAAAAATCATCAACTCTAACCCCTCATAAAAAAATATGTAATTCTTTTGCTGTTTTGTAGATTTTGTATAAATCTTCAGAAGTGATTTTTCAGAAATCTTTTCTGCTTTGCTTCCTGATGTGGTGGCTTCATTACAAAAAACATCAAATCTAACCCCTCATAAAAAAATCTGTAATTCTTTTGCTGTCTTCTTTGTAGATTTTGTATAAATCTCCAGAAGTGATTTGTTGTATCTCCCAGGTATTTTCATTCATTTCAGCCTCAAAACCTATAGGAGGCCACAAATTAGTGCAGGCATTTTTCAGGAATCTTTTCTGCTTTGCTTCCTGATGTGGTGGCAAGCATTTACATCAAGGAACAAAGCATAGCTCCTTCTGTGAAATCCCTGCAGCATCAGGCACTCCCATTCTCTTTTCCCAGAGTTAATCAATTTATACTTCTGAAGATAAAGAAGGAAAAAGGACTTATTTTTAATTTAGTACTACAGTGAGTACCCAACAGGTTGCAGGAGCACTTGAATCAAAGTCTACTTTAATCTTCTTGGTTTCCTGCATCATTAGTTATTGCACAAAAGGAAGCAGCTCCAACACTTGAGGCAGACTGCTGGGTGATAGTCTGGTTTCCTGACTGCCATGTGGAAAAGGAGGATTTGGTCTGACTCAGTGTCACTTTGACCCATTATGAAGCTGAGGATTTGTTCCCCATAGAAGCCCTGCTGAAACCAGTGTGTTCACATTAAAAGTTACTCCTTTTTAAAAAAAATTAAAATGGGGTAGCAAAGTTTTTCCAAAGTTCCGAGTTTTTCCATCACCAGATGGAGCAAAGGTCAGTGGGAACAGTGCTTTGAACATGTGAAATGCTGAAAAATCCTGTTCTCAGCAGTGAGAAATCCAGTTTGCACCAAAACAAAGGATTCTTTGAACCAGGCCTTTGCCTCGAGTCCTGAGCACTAAAATGAGAATAATATTGCACTTGATGTCCAGGATGGCTGTGGCCATCTGGGGGTTTTCAGCTGCTGCAGAGTTTGCATGGCAAACATGGAATGATTTGCCTGGCAAACACCCCCAGGTGCTCCTGTGTCTCCCTTCAGCCCTGTCTCTGTGCCCTGCAGACCTGGGGTCACGGGTTAAAAAGGACAAAACAAGAGACAAAAGAGAGAAAATATGTGCATTTGGATGAGCTGAGCTAAGAATTGGCATCAGAGTGCCTTTGTCAATACTTTTAAACTTAATTATTTTGTTTCAGAAGCCTACCAAGCTGGACATTTTGAAGGAAGAAGCATTGCAGGATCTGAAGAGGGTTCTTCAAGAATTAACAAGCTCAGACAGTGAAGCTCCCTCTGTGGATCTCAGCAGCCATGGTGGGAGAAAATCCCTTTAACAAGCATGAGGAGAACTGTGTAAGAATAATAGATTTATTTCTGTTCTTGACATGCTTCAGGAGCAGTGTGGGATGTGTTTTTGCAAGGTCAGGTTTACACATAAGCTTGAGATAATCTGGAAGCTTCCAAAGCTTTTGTTGTTTGCCAAGATGCTTCAGGTGGAAGGGAAATAAGTGACCACACCATTTGCCTTCAGTGCTTGCTTTTATTTCTGTTCAGAACTCCTTTCTTCTTTTCCTGCCATATGTAAATACCCAAATGCAGGATTTTTTTTTTTTTACTCATGATAATGACAGCAGTACATGAAGTCGAAAAATCAATACAGCAAAAATTCTGATGTTTCTGATCCAGAACATAAGGATACTTCATAAAAGAAAATGCAATTCATGAATTCTCCTTAGGATTAAATCAAATCTGCAGCTGGAGAGGCTGCTGCTGCAAGCATGGCAGAAAAGCACATTTAAGGCAGTGAGAAGTTTCATTAAGCTGAGTAACCTGCTTCTCACATTACTCATTAGAGGTTCAGTTTCTAAGGCTTTTTTAATACAGCCCAAATCCTGAGCTTGTTTGTATTGTTTTATTCATAATGCTAAGAGCTTTCTGGGGATTATAAAACAAAGCTTTCATGTCACTTTCATCCCCCTAAGCAAGAGCTCTGAAACATATTTACATTATTTGCTTTTCATTTCCATGGATAAGACCTGGAGACTCCATTTGAGAGCTTCACATCCTCACTGTGGATGCTGGCTAGCATGACTCAAGTTTAGCATAACCCTTCCAGAATGCAGGTTTTGCCCTCATTTTGCTTTCAGGGGTCCTTCCTGCTCACATCCCACAGATCTTCAGCCCCAGGATGTTTCCCTGCTCCTTACATCCCTTGGTAAGTTTTCCCTGTCAGACTGGAGCATTACAGAATATTGCAAAGAAGATAGTCCCAATATAGCATCTTTTCCTGGCAATTTACTCAAATATCTCTTAGTAGATGCTATTACTAAAAGGTCTTTATTGCACTTGCTACAAAATCTGTATCTTGTTGGAAAGCAGCTCCTCAGAGGCTGTCATGAGCACACACAAGATTGATAACTTCCATGTTACTTCTCTAATTAGCATCAATAGCTAATTGTCACATTTTTGGAGCCCACATTTAGGCTCTTGAGTCCTTTATTTGGATGTTTAGTTATGGATGGGCTTTTTAGAGGAATCAGAAATGCTGTTGGTTTCCTTCCAAGTACTGGATGGGTCAGTATCTTTTAAACATGAATTTTGTTATCTAAAGGAAATAAGAGGATGTGGCTTTGAGCAGCAGGGTTTGAAGATATTAATCTTAACTACCTTTTCTTTTCTTGCCCATGGTTTATGCATTCTGTGAAAATTGCCTGTGGACACTGATATTGTTCTCTATTTGGAATTTAAGCCACTGTGCCTCAGAGACGGGCTCTGTTCCTTGTGAGGAGTAACTGCTTTGGATATTCTTTTGGTACTTGTGAGTGTGAAACAAAATTTCCTGGGTAGTTACTGCCTGCCTTCTAGCAAACCAATTGCAGCATCCAGGGATTTTCCTAGTCTCCAAAAGAGCTACAAGTAGGGTTTTTTTATGCAGAAGACTTGAGCAGCAGTTGAGTTTGTAATGGGCAGAGAGTCCTGGGCTGCGACCAGCCATGACATTCCCTGTTTGGGCAGTAAACAAGGAACAGGGAGCAGAACAAAAGCCATTCTGACATTCCAACGGCTTTGACAGAAACAAGCATGTTTTGTAAGGAGGCTTTTCCAGGGGGATCCCTCCTCAGGTGCGTGCTCTTTGCTTGGACCCCTCCAAGGAAATGCATCCACCTGCTCGGCAGCACCTGGGTGCACATCCTCCCCCAGGCAAGTCCAGGACACTTGCTCATAACTAGCCCACCTGATGAGCTTGCAGCTGGCCCTGCTGCCTCAGCTGAGCACAGCCCAGCTCCCCACAGGGAGCAGCCACAGCCCCAGGAACGGGTACATCCGATCACACATCCCGATCAGGGTGCCTTCACCCTCCCCCGGTTCTGTTCAGGCAGAAGGTTTCATCTGTGGTAAGTGAGTTGTGAGTAAAGCATAGCAGCTAATTAATCCATTATGCAATCAGGAGATAAATTCCATGCACCGCTAATTTTAAGGCCTGGTCGATTGCCTTATTCACATTAAAAGGATGATTGACATCAATACTTGACATCAATACTTGCAGTAAAAAATGTTTGTAGTAGCTGCTGTGGCTCCTGTAACATGTTTAGTCAAGTTCTGAATTTCACTGAAAATGTTGGTAAATGTTTAGATAATTTATAATGGTTTTTTAATTATTATTGGTGATAATATTATTACTGTTTTCTCTAGCTTGTGAGCCCACACCAAAGAGGCTACAGAACAAGATGGAAAGCCTGCAAAACCTGGTGGAGTCATCACAGATAAAAAAACAAGGTGTCAGTATTTACCAAAAATATTCCTGGTTTTTTTTGAAAAAACACACATTCTCCAGAAATTGTTCTTGGTACCTGCTGGAGCACTACCTGTGCTTTTACTAGCACACACTTAGTTTTACCAGCAGTACCCACTTGTGCATTATCCTGTTCCTGGGACAGTAATTAGATTAACTCCACAATGCCCCTTAACTCTAATGAGCTTCAGGATCCTTAGCATGTCAGACACAGCAGCTGCTCAGGGCTGTCCCCGTGTGCTGTCACAGCCAATTACAGGGAATTTTTGCCAAGCTGATGATGCCTTCATGGAAAATGCAAGATTTCCAAAACTTAGCTCCTGGGATGGTAGGATGCCAAATGAGATGGGATTTATTTTCTCTGCACTTTTTTTTTTATAGCATATTCCAGTCTCTTCCCCTTTTCTCCTTCAAGTGTCATTGCACAGATTTGGGAAATTATTATTTCCCCTCATGGCACAGTGCATTTGTGTCAGGGACATACAAGTGGCCTGATGCAGGTAAAACTAATCAAGTTATTTATATAAATAAGTCAAAGATCAGTGTTGTCATTTTTGTTCTTTGCCATCCATTAACATCCTCAGTGTTTTTTCTACATTCACATGAAGAATTGGAAATGGAAGCTGCATTTTAAGGGCTTTGTAGGTACAGCATAACTTGTAATGGTTTGTGAAGCTTCAGCTGGCTGCACCTGAGACCTCAGCCTTTGGAACATAAGGTGGTGTTCAGCTAATCTGTTCTTCTTCTATTTTCAGCCACATCTCCGTGATCAGAACTCAGGAGGTGAAGACAAAGAAATCCAAGGAAAAGGAGAGAAAGCTGTCCAAGTGAAGCCTCTGTATTCATTAGTGATCACTTTCATGTAGGTACATTGTGTTTAAAATAAGTTGGTATTAAATATTAATAAGAAAAGCCCTTACAATTTTTAAACTCAAGTTTATAGCTTTTATTTTAAATGAGCAGGAAGTACAGAGTAGAAAGGGACCCTAAGGATTATCTCCTCCCAGCCACGGGCAGGGACACCTTCCACTTTCCCAGGTTGCTCTAAGTCCCATCCAAACCAGACTTGGACACTTCCAGGAATGGAGCAGCCACAGCTTCCCTGGGCACCCTGTGCCAGGGCCTCACCACCCTCACAGGGAAGAAGTTCTCCCTATGTCTAAGCTAAATTCTTCCTGTTGAAGCTTGAATTCCATACTGTACCATGATTCATTTAAGGAGAATGGACTCATCAAACTTTAGCTGGAGTCTTGTGTGGGGAGGAGAAATTACTGAGCTGTTCTTAAGCTGTCCTCAGGTATTGGCAACAGTGTTTCAATTGGAGGAATTTTTTTTGTTTGTTTGTTTTCCTAGTAATTTTTGCACTCTGATACTTTTTGCAACAGTGTTGCAAGCTCAGTCAAAATATTAGTAAACACATCTCCCCTTTCCTAGAAATCAGTTGCACTGAAAATGGAAGGATTGGTTTAGATGGCACATGTATCAGTTTGGACTTGCCACACACAGCCTTCCAAAATCTTCTTAAGGGGAGGGTCAGGTGTAGAGAATAAGAACCCCTGAAAAAAGTCACTGCTAAGTGCACTCCCAGTTGTGTTCAAGGAGCCAAGCTAAAAAGAGTTTCAGAAGCTGCAGCTGCGTGCCAAGGGCAGGGAGCAGGTGGAGGGGTCAGAGAGCCAGAGAGAAGGGAGGGACATCTGCCAGTCCAAAACAGCAGCTTTTGGGACAGGTCTGGGCTTCCCCCGTGCCACCAGCAGCAGGCAAGGAACAGGTAGACACATGAGCCTTAGAGCAGCTGAATACAAGCAGCCCCAGACTTGTTATTCCATGTCCTGCAGGTGGATGGCACAGCAGGACTGCTGGGCCAAGCTTGCCCACAGCAAGGACACCACAGATGGCAACCAGCCCCTGGCAGAGAAAACCTAACAGCAGGCTGATACGTGGAGAGGCTCCAAAGGGTGAGTTAATTCCCAGAGACATGGGATGGGTTTTGCAAAGCAAAATAGCTGCAGTGAAGGTTTTTGCAGGAGACTTTAGAATGGTTCATGCCCAGTCCCCTCAGGCTGCTTGCACAGTTCACCATCCAGCTGCAGCATTCAGCATTTGTGCACCAAACTAAGGAGCAGTTTGTGTTTCACATAAAAGTAATCAAGTTGTCTGATTTGACACAAGTTGGCTGTCAGGGGTATGAGCAGGTGAACTTTAAAGGTAGCTCTGTGGTTGCAGGCTTTGCCAAGCTGTGAGTGAGATTTTGTTTGCTTGGAGATGTCCTGAGCCACTGGCTGTTAGATCCACACAGGAATGTCAACAATAAGTTGTTTCTCACATGTAGCTGCACTGGTCTCACAGCCAGGACAAGGCATTAGACAGCTATCAGCCATTCCAGCAGCATCTTTTTTATGCAGCAAGGCAACTTTGTGTGGATCTGCTTTCACCTTTGAGGAAATAGATTGTTCAGTAATGAGAACACCTGTGAACTTGGAGAAAATACTAATAGGTTGCTCCAGAAAAACTGAAATCCAGATTTATTTCTTTCACCATACCCAAACCATTTAATTTACTTAGCATAGGTCCTGCTGGGAATGGCACAATAATTTAGAGGCTTTTCTAGCAAAAGCTTAGTGCAGATCTTTGTAGAAACCCTAGCTCATCCTTCAGCAAGGTGACAGAATCACAAGGACTGTGACTTGTCTGTGGGATCAAAGAGCCAGGTGCTTAATTAAAAAACTAAATTGTTCTCGATTTGAAAGACTTGTTGGGGTTGGTCTGTTTGACATGTTCACCACTGCATTAGAGAACCTATTCTAGCATAGGTTAAGTAGCTTTCTAGTGAATAACTTAATCTAAAAGCACAGTTAATCTCCTCAGACAAGCCTCAGGCGTGTGCATTAATACGCTCAGGCGGCAGCTTTGACTTCAGGGATTTCTGGAGATCACCTTCTACTGCTGCTGAATATTACCTGTAGTGTCCACTTCAATTTGTTAGAAAAGCCAAGTGCTAAGAATGCAGCTGAGGTTTTTCTACTGGATACAAATCAACATCCCAACTCGCCAGTGCACTTGTTCTTGGCCTAAGTCTATCTCCCTCCTCACGCTGCCCACAGGAGTTCCTTGAGCTGTTTTGTGGCCAGGTCTGCAGGAGCAGGCAAACCAACCCACCCTCATCAAACAGCTGGATTCCAATCCCAGTAAGAACATGGCCAACACTTGTTCTTCCCAGCAGCTCTAGCACTGTCCCAACCACCTGGATGCCCATTAACCCACCAGACGCAGGAGGTCAGCTCTGAAGTTCATCTTCCAGTCTTTCACCAGAGTCATTCTATTTCACACATCCTGCTCCACCACACAGAGCAGGAAGGAATTAGCAGAGGCATTTAGTGATGTGCTTTTTCAAGTACTTCTTCCAAACCGAAGTTTTAATTTGTATACTTGCAGATCTACAAAACTCTGCACTCCCAGACCCAGCTCACTCAAGGGAAGGGCTGTTTGCAGGCTTGGTCTCGCAGAGCTTGGTTCAGCATTATGGAAAGAGGAGCTTGCTCAAGTGGCAGCATGTATTTGTACCCAAAAATACAAAAGGCAGAGAAGCAGGGCAGCTTTCTGCTTCTATCATATAAAGATAACAACTAGCTGGAGGTATTCTACTTCATCTGGCTGTACCAACTAGCTGAAGCTGGAGGTATTCTACTTCATCTGGCTTACTAGAAGGCCACAACTTAAAGTAAATTCAAGGTGAAAAGCTTAGTCTTAAAAAAGATTTACAAGTTTAAGCCAAGAATTTGCTAACAATACTGTGGTGTTGTTCATCACTATGCCACCTGTTCCAGCCCAATCCCTATTCCCTGGCCAGCATTCCAGGTTTTTTTAAAGCCTGCTCCCACCCTGACAAAGTAATTCATTAAGCCGAGACAGTCCTTTGTGACCTTTGCTCTCCCCTCAGCAGGAGTGGAGCTGCCTGCCAAGCCTTTCATTTGAGCCGAGGTGATTGCTGGACAGTGGGGGGTAGAGAATGAACTATTTTGGGGTTCAACCTTTTGTTACTCCAAGAGGGAGGGCCGCTTCTCAGCACTTCCTTAGCACTAAGATTTCAGGTCAAGTGGCCCACTTGGATCAAAGTTAGCAAAATGAGTGAGGTCACTGGTCAACTGATAACGAACTGTCAATCTGAAAATGTTTATTGTTTCCTTAATACATTACATAAATTAAAACACTTAAGTTCCTGTTACAGTGCTGGTAACCACACCTCCCAGTACGCTTCCCAAGCCCAAGATGCATCCCATAGCCCCACTCAAAGCAGCACTAACTCAAGTCCAGGGTCCAGATCCACCTGGACAGGCAGGTGCTTGGAATGCTGCTCATGCCTTCTTAGCCTACCTTGTGTCTCTTCAGCACGCGCTCAAAGCTGATTTTTCAGGTTGCCAAAAGATTTCCTAAAGAGATCTGCTGCTTACGTGGCTCGATATGGGATTTCCAGAGCTCTGCACTCCAGAGGGTCTCCTAGAGAAGAAGGGGAGCCCCCCCTAAGGTTTAGGGGCTCGGAGGTTCACCTAGGCAGGCCTGCCATTAGCTCAGCAGCTTCCACCTTCCCGTTAATGGTACCCCCACCACTGATGAACAATCTGATCTTCGTGTTCAGTCACTAGGGTCCTGTTAGCGCATTCTTCCCAGCGTCTGACCTTGCCATTCTCCACCAAGATAAATTTCCATTCCACTCTGGTGTCCACGGGCAGACTGATGGTTTTGGACCAGAAGCCGTCCTTGTCGCGCCTGAGGGGGACGTAGCTGTGCCACTGGCCCAGGCACTCGTGGTCCCCGGTGACACCGACGAGCTGTGCCTCGGAGTGGGTGATGTAGTGCACGCGGAAAGCCACGTGGATGTTCTGGAACATGGGGGGCACGGCTGCAACTCGCTTTGCTTTCGAGTCACCGTCGCAGCAGTCTCCTGCTTCCCATTCCTTGCCGTCTGAGTCTTCCATGCTGCCATCCTTCCCTTCCACCAGGAGCTCAGAAACAACTTCCCACTCTTCATGGTCCAAGTCCCTCCTCTCAGCTGGCTGCTCCTCGCTTCTGTCCTTACACTCACCGTCAGAGGCCAAGTTCATCACGCACCATCTGTCACTTGCCTGTCCCACCTGGGCTTCCAGCTCTCCTGCCTGGCTGCCGGCCATATCAGCTGGATGTTCCCCGGGGTCCGTGACACGGCGCTTCGGGATCAGCTGCTCCAGCTCCACAGCTTCGCTCGGGCCATGGTTAAGCTCTTCCCTTGAAACATCCCCTCCAGGATTCGAAGGGCCGGACGGGGCGGCAGCCGCCGGCTCCCCGCCCGCCGCAGCATCCTCTGCAAGCGACATCGAGGGAGAACGGGTTAAGAGCACCGGCAAACCCAAGTCCTCGCGGGCTGGGGCAGCCCGGCACACCCCGGCACCTCCTCCCCACCCCGCTACCTGTGGTCACCGCGCCCGCCCGCCGGGGCCCCTCTCTGCCGGCCGCCGCCTCCTCGCCTCGCCCGTCGCCGTCGCCGTACCAGAACCAGGCGACGATGGCGGCCAGCAGCCCCACGAGCAGCGCCGGCCAGAGCCCCGCGCCCAGCCAGCCCCAGCCGCGGGGCTCGGCGGGCAGCACGGGCGGGCCGCGGGCCATGGCCGGGCGCTGCCGCAGCGGGACCCGGCCGGGGCCGCCCCCCCGGAGCCGCTTTAAGCCGGGATCCGCATCCGGGGAGGAGCCGGGCGGGGCTGGGCCGCGGGGCGGTGGGAAGGCGTAACTCCCAAAGTCAGAGCGGAGAAAGTTTCTGCTCTTCGTGCACCTACGCCCGTTCTCTGCCTTCTTTCACAATT